ATCAACACCAAAAGGAACCTCGCGAACTACCTCACGAAGCCCGTCCAAGGCTCCGAGGCCGTCGCTCATGCCGCTCCTCTTGCGCTCTTGGGTCGCCACGGCGCTGCTCCGGGTCGGGTGCGCGCGGTTCCCGGCCGACGCGAGGGTGCGCGTGCCGGGTGGCGTCACGAAGAGAATGGAGGACGTCAACTACGGCGACCTTGTCCTCGTCGTCAGCGCCGGCGCGAAGGATCGCTTCGAAGAAGTACACACCATCTCGCACGCCAACGCCACAGCCTCGGAAGAGTACGTCGTGCTGAACTCGAGCCGCCTCGACGGCTCGGCGCCGAAAGCCCTCCGCCTCTGGCCAGACAACATGTTGCCCGTCTGCGCCGCGCCGGCGGGCGCGCCGAAACTCGCCGACTGCCCGCTCGCGCCGGCGCACCGCGTGCGGCCGGGCATGGCCGTGCGGCGCCTCGGCGCCGGCGGTGCGCCCGAGCTCGCCGTCGTGACGGCCGTCTCGCTCGAGACGCTGGTCGGCTCCTATCACGTCCACGCCAACTGGGAGAATTGTCTCCTCTACGTAGATGATCACGTCGTCGCCGAGTTCCCGCTCTTGACCAGCGCCAACGCCACGGCCGACGCCACGCACAACGCGACGGTGCCCCTCGCCTCCATCGCCGGCAACATCCGGCTCTCCGAGTACCTCTACCGCGCCCCGCGGCGCCCTTTGCCGCCTCGTCGGAAACTGCACCGCATGTTCCGAGGACGCGCGGCCCGCCGATGCGTCGCGCCAAAGACAGCGAAGCACGCTGTGTCTGACGGCCTCGCTCGCAGGCACGCTCGGCAAGGCGGTCAAGGCGTCGTTCGACGGCCGCTTCGTCCGCACCGAGTTCCTCGAAAGCGTGTCGGGCAGCGGCGAGCGCGGCGCGTTCTGGGACGTCGGCGCCGCCTTTGGGCCGCCCAGCGCCAACGACAGCAACGTCCACGCCACCGCCGGCCAGCGGCTCTCCCACGTCGAGTTCTTCTCCACGGCAGCCACGGGCTCCTTCGCGGCCCTGGTCAACAACGTCACCGTATCCGCCCCGCCCGCCGACGCCGATTCGATCGAGTCCTTGGTCAGCTTTGGCGGCCGCGGCTTTGACATGTTCGACACGTCCTCCCTCCGAGACCTCGCAACGTCGGCCGCCCCGACATCGACGCGCGCGCCGGCATGGACCGACGCGCCTACGCCCGTGAGCCAGCCCCGGGCCGCGGAAACGCACAGCACAGCGACAACCAGCGTGCGCACGCCCCGCGTAGGCGCCGGCGACCTCGCAGCCGAGCTCCTCGCTCCGGCCGACGCCCGCGCCGACTTTTGTGGGTACGGCCGGCGAGGAGCCGTTCTCTTCGGACGCCGACTGCGCGTCGGGCAGCTGCGCCTTTGCGGGCCGCCGCGCGCTCCTGTTTGGTTACTTTGCGCTCCTGGTTGGTTACTATGCGAATCGCTGAGACGGCGACGCCGACGCCCATCCGACGCCACCGACTTTAAAACCCTCATGCCTCACTCACCGACTTTGAGAGGGTCACGCGCTTAAACACGCCACCACGCGCGGCACGCCCTGTCGCACGAGTTTTGCCATTGTGTGGGATCCAGCAGCGGCGGCCCTGTCTGTTGGGTCTTAGTAGCCTCCTTGGAGTGAGGCGCCCGCGAGGGTTTTAAGTTTAGCACATCTGGGCGAACCCTTGGATGACAGCCCATGGGCATCCTCCGAGGGCTTGGAGCCACTGGGATTGGACGATCCGGAGGGCTGGAGACGGGGCACGGCAGCATCCTCCAGTTGCATAAGCATTGTTGGATTGGACGCGTTGGCGTGAGCACCTCTGGGCGGATCCTTGGCTGACAGCCCATGGGCATCCTCCAGTTGCAAAGGCTTTGCTGGATTGGACGACCCGATGGGCTGGAGACGGGGCACCGCAGCATCCTCCAGTTGCAAAGGCCTTGATGGATTGGACGCAGGAAAAGGTGCCTAAAGGCCGGCATAACCGTGGGCTCGTGTGTCGTCCGTGGGGCGAGCGTGGGCGCCGAGGCACCTAAAAAAGGGCGACCAGGGCCTAGAGAATCGACCGAGGCAAAGCCGGTAGAACTCTCGACCCAGACTTAACCAGACCTCTCGCAACACCCCAAATTCGCTGGGCGCTGGAGACGCGTCGTCCTCCACACACTGCGCAGCATCGCTGGCGCAGCGAGGGAGGACGGCGCGGGCGTGACGACTGCCCCAAGGCGACTTGATCAATTCTTTCAAGAAAAGAATGGGGGCTGTTTACACCAGCCCCAGAAGGCCGGGGGTGCCGATGAATCATGGGTAGCCAGAGTGCAACGCGGCCCAGGACCCGCTATCGAAGTGCGCGTTGCGCGGGATCGCGGAGGGTGGCCCTAGATAGCCCCGAACCGGTCTTGGTTGCTCCACGGCCGCGCGTTACGGCGTGCACGCGACGACCCGGCTTATCGACGCTCTGGAAGCCTGAGGCGTTTGGCGCTCGTGCTCGTCGCGCGGGTGTCTACCCTGGCTCAAAATGTCCGCGAGGTGACGGGCCATCGGCGACGACGAGGGCACTTTGCGCGAATCCCAGCGCGCGCCGACTGCGAGCCGCGAGACGCTCCGAGCCCAAAACTTTCTCGGGGAACATTTTAAGATTATATTAAATCTTCACTAGTCGCTTCTGGCACTTTTTTGCTAGCGTCACGGTTGTAGACGCGTCGTCGCACTGTGCGACCTGCGCCGATTGCGAGCCGCGCCCGGGCGAGGCGTTTCCCCGCGTTTCCCCGCGCTGGTGCGAACCGGCGTCGTTTCGCGCTGTTTCGAGGGGTATTCAGAACGGGTGTGCAGTTCGGTCGTGCGCGACGTAGGGGGTAACGGCGCTTTGGACTTAGGTGACTCTACGGTGATGGCCGCGTCGATGGACGCCGACGACGGCGACGGGGCGACCAAGGTCCTCCTCTGGGTCTTCGCGAACGAGCTCGACGACGAGAAACGCACGGGCTTCGTGCACGTTGCGTCGTTTGAGGCCAGCAAACGCAATCAACACTTCGTGCTGACGACGACGGTGCCGATTGCGGCAACGACGGAAGTCGAAATCGACGCGATCCTGGCGGCTGGCAGCTTCCGACCCGACGACCAAGCACTGCGCGCTTTAACTTGTCAAAGGTAGTGCGAGAAGGGGGGCCCGCGCCGGTGGACGGCGCATCGTCCGGCGCCGCCGCCGCAAAGGGAACGTCGTCAGCCTGCGCCTCGTCCGACGCCGCGGCGGCACCGGCGTCCACGTCCATAGCCTCCGCCGCTTCACTTCCAGCCGAAACGAGGACCGCGGCCATCTTCCGAGCCAAAAACGCCAGCACCTCCTTCTTCTTCTCCTCGAGCTCGAGGATGCTCACCTCTAGCGCTTCGAGTAGCGACGTGGCCGCCAGCACCTCCGTGTCCGACGCCGCGTCCATCGCGCGCTGCGAGAGAGTGCGCCACTGCCGCGCCCACCGTCAGCAAATCGCCTCACGGTGCGCTCGCTCGCTCGCCGTCGTCGTCGACGACCTCCCACGACCTACGGAATGAATCGGACCCGCCCCGGCCCACACAACACGCGCGCGGGGCGAGAACGCCCACGTGCGGGGAAACGACCCACGGCCCTCGTCGTCACCGCGGCGCGGCGGCGACCTCCCACAGTCGCCCGACGGCGGATCCCCGCACTTCCCCAGGCGCCCGAGCGATCCCCCCAGGCCATCACGCCGTCGGACGCGCACGCGCCGATCGCACTCACCTTCCTCGGCACTACTATGGGGCTCTAGAATAGAGCCCCCATCCCAGCCCCCCTCTTCTTCTTTTTTAAGAAAGGATGGAATCAAGTCGCCTTGGGGCAGGCGTGACGAGTCACAGATGACCTTCGCCAAAAAGATGTCAGTGTTGTCACTGCTCGTCCACGCCATGCTTCTTCTTCTATTATGCACTCCACGCTCGTCCACGCGTCGCGCAAGCCTTTCACCCGCGGCCGGGGCCGTCGAATAGGCAAGGTCATATGTCTTTGTGTTTAATAATATATTGCTCAAATCAATGTCATCCCAAAACTTCACCGATTTCAGCGATGTTATCAATTCCCAATCTCCGATCGCTTATTTGGGATACTGTGGCCGAGTGGTTAAGGCGATGCCCTGCTAAGGCATTGCGTTCTACGTTCGAGAGTTCGAATCTCTTCAGTATCGTTTTTTTGCTGCTGCAGGCATTTCTTTTGTTTTTTTGGAGGATTTATTTTTGCATTTTTGAGGACCCGTAGGGTCCTTGCCGTTTAATCCACGTCAGTTTACGGCAAGGGCCCTTCGTGTCCTGCGATTGAAGGATTAGCTATAGGAATTCCTAGGAATTCCTACCCTGGGTCCTCCTACATGTACAAAACAGCGATAGTTCCTGACAACCTCGTGACCACGTTCACCGGAGCGGCGCACGTGCTCCGGGCAGTCCCGAAACCCCGAACTCTCCCGTGGCCCTGGGGCGGTTTTGCCCTTTCCCTGCAGCCGTTTTACCTCACTGCTTAGGCGTCCGGCGCAACGCGGACCCGGCGCTCGGCCTCGACCTGCACCGCCTGGACCCGCTCGTGCCCATGCCGCCCGACCGCGTCGTGCGGACCCGGCGCTCGACCTCGACCTGCACCGCCTGGACCCGCTCGTGCCCATGCCGCCCGACGGCGCCGTGCGGACTCGGCGCTCGGCCTCGACCTGCACCGCCTGGACCCGCTCGTGCACATGCCGCCCGACAGCGTCGTGCGGACCCGGCGCCCGGCCTCGACCTGCACCGCGGCGGGTACTACTTCCTCAAACCAACCACAAAACTCCGGCCATGCCCCTCGCGCCGGCCCACAATGTGCTGGACTGCCTGGCCGGCCCTCGTACCGCTTCAGCGTGCGAAAATAAAGCCGCCCGCCGAGAAAATGAGCCGCCGAGGAGACAAAGCAACCAGTGCAAGCCCGAATGCAACGAGTCCCGAGTTTTCCGGCAGAGAAGCATGGTTGAGACCCTTCGGGTCGATTCCAGTCGCTCCTGCGCAGGACCTCTTGATCTGCACGTGGTTCTCTGAGAGTTCCTGTCGTCTCCCCGGGGTATAAATTACAACCCTCACCTCACCAGGGGCAATTTTGTCTGTCCGTCTGTCCTTCTGTCCTTCTGTCCGTCCACGGGCAAATCCGTGAGGTTCCACCTTAGGGAAGAAAAGGGCATCAACTCAGCCGATTCAGCGATTGGTGGTTGATGCTATCGCTAAAATTAGGAATCATTGGAATCGTAATAGAAGAAGAAGGTGGTCACAGTTTCAAACCTGGTCGGCCGCAAAATTCAGCGATTAGTTAAAATAATTTTAATTATTTAGGATTCCTACGTGGCAATCGCAATGTGATTTGGCTGTATCCTTCGGGTCCTCCGTGTGCGGCCTCCGGCGCGCTCTTGTAATTATAAAGTAAGTTACTTCGACTGCACGTGGCTCGCCGCTGCCTCTCCCCGGGATATTAAATCAAACCCTCACGCCTCACCTCAGAGAGTTTTTCCCATCGTTTCGAAATCGTACACCGTCATCAGAAGCTCCTCCTACAATTGCACGCACGCCGGTATCTTCACGACGCCGCATGCAGTGACCACGGCGCTACCAGGGCACGACGGTATCGAAACGTTGGGTAGCTTTTTCTCTTAATGGTATCCTAAGGTATTATCCTGATACATACCCTCTAGAACCTTAAGCTCTTCCTATCCGGATACGATGGTCCCTCTACGACGACGGCGAGGCCGAAGCGCCTCGTGCTCGACCGAGCGAGGCGCCTCGTATTCGACCGAGCCTTTCCGTGTGCAAAATCCGCCGGCGCGCGTATTCGACCGACGCAACGTCGACCGCGCCGCCGACCGACGCGGCGACATTGCCGCCGCCGTCGAAGCTGGCCACGCCGCCGCGCCGAGGGGCAGATTCCACAGAACTATATGCAGGATGTAGTTGTGGATTCCAGCACCAATCCACCGTCGAGGCCAAGTGCCGCGCCGACGACGCGGGCGGCAAACGGCAGTCTGAAGTAAGGTCCGAGGTGGACCCCGTATAGCACGGGTTGCAGGCTCGCGTCGGAGCACGTCGTGGGCTTGGCCCGCGACGCCGTGGATCGCCGCGTGATCAGGGGACCCTCTGCGCAGGGGCCATCCACGATGCGGTCGGCAGGTAGGCTGGCCGTCGACCCGCACCCGACCGCGCGTCTGAGGTGAAGCGTGGCGAACGCTTCATGTCGACGCTTTATGTACACGCCGAGACGACGGCGCGGGCGCGCTTTAGAGGCCGAGATCCGAGAGCGAGGCGTGGTCGTCCGGGCGTCTGCCGAGGGGCCAGTGGAAGAGCCTTTCGGCCTCGGTGATGGCCACGTCGTTGATGGATGCGTGGCGGACTCTCATGAGTCCCATTTCGTCGAATTCCCAGTTTTCGTTGCCGTAGGCCCTCTTCCACTCCCCCGCGCCGTTTCGGCACTCGTAGGCGAAGCGCACGGCGATGCGGTCGCTGGAGTGCGCCCAGACCTCTTTGATGAGGCGGTAGTCCATCTCCGTCGCCCACTTGCTCTCGAGGAAGTCTTTGGCGGCGCCGCGGCCTTGAAAAAACTCGGCCCGGTTCCGCCACTTCGTGTCTTCAGAATACGCCAGAGAGACCTTGCCCGCGTCGCCTAAGCCAGGGGATCGGGGCCGCAGCAAGGCGCCGTATAGGGAACGTGGGCCGTCGCGACAAATCGGAAAGTGGGGCGGACTCACGTGTGTTCCAGCCGTCTTCGGCAGCGCGCACCTTCTTCACCGCGTCGTCGTAGGAAAACGGCGGCACCGGCGGGCGCGGCTGCGCAGCCGACATGCCGTCGTTCGACCGTCGCCACAGTCGTCGCCACGACTGTTTCGAGCGGCTACTAGTACTAGGTAATCAACAGTTTAAAAACGAAAATACAGACTTTATTGAGCAGGCAAGCTCCTTTGGGTAATTAATAAACTCCTTTTTAGACGAGCACCTACTACTAGTACACGGGAATGACAAGTCTCTTGATAAAATGTCCGAATGCCTCCTACTCTCGGTGTCGCGCGGCTCGAGGAGGTCCATGGCCACCTCCCAGCGCCCGAGAGTAGGAGG